ATAGGACATCTAATACAGACTTTAGACGTCCTAACCTCACCAGCCGCTGGGGTTGACACCACCAAGTCAAACTGCATCTCGCTCTCTACTAACCCCAGTTTATCAACGCACGCCTTCGAGATGAAGGAGTGTGTTGCCCCCGAATCATATAACACACAGCAGTGCATTCCATATAATAAGCAAGTGCTGATGACGAGTGTACCTGAGCTGGCTGCTTCAGCACCAGTGATTGCGTACACTCTCCCCACTGCCTACGCTCGTCCACCCCGACCTTGTTGTGCTCTTCCAGCGTTTGGCGGTCTCATTGCCGCTCGTCCGCCCATATTACACTCGTTCTCCAGGTGGCCGTTTCTTCTACAACGAGTGCAATACTTTCCTCCTACCAACTGAGGACAGACTGACCTGAAATGGGGCCCTCCACACTGAAAACATTTGATCGCCCCCTACTGTCCAGACTGTCCAGCAACAACCATCGCCTGAGACCCACTTGACTGCACTGGACGAGCGTACGGAGTCCTATTCCGATTCAGATTTGTTCTCGTTAGAATCGGTCCCCTGGTTGCTTGTTGTTTCTTCTGCTGTTCGACTTCAGCCATGTTTTTCTCCAATACTTTGGCCCTCTCGACCATTGAAGGGAATGACCGAATACATAAGCTGGAGATTAACACCTTCAGATCACTCCTCAGCCCGTTTTCAAACTTTCTACACTGCCACTCCTCACTGGTCGCCATGGTATTGAACCTCAACAGATGTTTGAAAGTGTTGGTATACTCCGACACAGATTTCGCTCCTTGCACCAGTTGAAGGAACTCAACTTCCTTAGCGTAACGAACGTTGTCTGGGAAGTATTCCTCATAGAACTTACTCCTGAAAACCGCCCAAGTAATGGGACTCTGAGCGTCCGTTAAAATAGCTTTCATGCTCGTCCACCAGTGACTAGCTTCTCCAGTCAGCAAGTATTCTGTAAAGGCCAACCGGTTGTCATCCGGACACCTCTTAGCATTGTAGATACGTTCCATATCACTCAGCCACTGGTCCGCCTCATCAGGAAGGCATTTTCCACTAAACTTTGCAGGATGGTGCTGAAGGAAGCTTTCCAAGCTCCACTCAGTATGTTGGGAAGCGTTGGAAGAAGACGCTCCTGGCGTACCTCTGGTGGCAACAATAATTTCCATCAGTTGCCGCTGGGTCGCCTCAGAGTTGGCACGAGCGGCCTCTAAACTTTGTAATGCAGCAGCGTTCTGCTCCATTAATACAGTATTTTGTTGTTGAAGTCTCTCAATGACCGTCTCCAACAACCTTGCGTGGTTGGGCGCATCTGGTTCATTGGGTTGTGGTGGAGGAGGGAGTCTAGGGGCCATTTGTTCTCTGGAACACAGAGAAAAACGAATGTTAGTTATGTTCAAAGAGTTAAAAATAACTCATTAAACAAAAATAAAGCACACAGCAAAAACACAGTGCACTCATAACCTAAAGTGTCCTTAAGAGAACAAAACTGCTCTGATACCAATAATGTAACATCCCAAAATTATACAGTCATCAACTATATAATAGAATATTGACATATATTAATATAACAAAACAGTCTTATAATTAAAGGGATTAAGCTCGCAAGTGGCCGAACGGCCTTTCATAACTTTACAAAAATTTACGAGTGTTCAGTAAACAAAACGACCGAACGGTTTACAAAAATGGAAATACCGAACGGCCAAATATAAGCAGAAAAG